TCAATCAAAGTAAACTTGAAAGCTGGCTAAAAAGAAAGTCAGCTAGACGCCACCTTGAACAACTCAATGAACTATCCACTGACATCACTCAAGTTCAGAACGTTGTGGTGACTGCAAGAAAACTTGCTCTCACATGGCCGACCATTGAAACCAGGCACCAACACAGTCTTGGGACCTGCTACTTTCTGTTGACAACTTACTTCAAAGCTCGGCTTTGAACAAAACTGTAACAACCAAGTCCTGGCCCACACTTGGGGAAACCATAACATATAGCTCTACTTTCTATTTTGTCTACTCCAAAATACCACATATTCTTTGAGGAGACCGTGGTCAGTGCCACACGCGAGACTTGTGCAGAGCGGCAGGAGAAGCTGGATGTCGTGAGAGTGGCTCCACGCCTCGGAACTGGTCCGTGCATCTTCCAATGGAAGCTGACGATCGGAGGGCTTTGGAAGACGAAAACTGTCTTTTTTGGGGCAGCACCCAGAAGCTTTCATGGTTGGAAAGCTTCCATGGTTGGAAAGCTTCCATGGTTGGAAAGCTTCCATGGTTGGAAAGAGGTCTACAAAAGGAAGCCCACCATAGGGATTTCTGAGAAACGCTCAAACAGACCGCCAAATTGGCACCACACGCCCATTTGTGCGCGCATGCTGCGCCAATTGCAGCGTCTTAATTGCATGGGTGAATCCCTGGTCGATTCCCAAAGGTCCTTCGCGCGTTTGTACATTGCACGCAAGCTGTTTCCGGAGTCCGCGGCTGGCGAAACGTAGCGAAACGTGCTGGTAAAAAAGGGTACATGCCTACCGTTTGAGTGTGCTGACGTGGGTGTGGTTCTGTGAGGGGTCTTGCTGGGCTTGCTCTTTTGGGGTCTGTTGGTCCTCCTTCTGGTTCTCCCCTTTTGTGGCTTGGTATTTCTTAGCACCATTGTTCGCAGCGCGGAAAAACAACAACAACATGCAAGGTGAAAACCAAGTACAGCAGCACCAGTCCTCGTCGGCATGTCGGTGAATAAGCAAGTGAAGATAAGGAGCAACCAGAAGAGAGCATGCAGGGAGCAGAAACAAGTGCTGAACAGAAAATCAACAGATTTTGTGAGGAGGCCCTGGAGCCATTCGTTATTTTACTATGGCAAACACTCCATGAGGCTCCACCAGGATTTCTCTACCTGAAATCTTCAATTCCAGCTGGGACCGTAGCAGCCGCTGCACAGCAGATCCTGCAAGCAGCGAGCCGAGAAGCATCATGGATCTGATCCCTCGTCCTCAGGAAAAAATGAGAAAACATAAATACCCAGTGATTTATTCTGACAGATTCCCTTTAAAACATTGGAAAATGTTCAATATTCTTAGGCAAATGGAATAAACAATATTCTTAAGCAAATGGAAGGTTCTAGGTGGTGTCGTTTTGGTATCTCTGAACAATTCCCACCTGGAGCCCTTTACTCGTACGCACTACACGGAGAAACTAGGGCGATCGGACATGTCAGACTCGTAGCACGTCGGACCAGGCACACTTCTTCGCGTGCACTGACTATAGCCAGCCATGTTCGGCACATCTCCCCTCAAGTCCAGCTCCAAGGACCTAAAAACTCATCACTTAGGCTCCAACATCGAGATTTAGGTGTGCCAGACAAGAACTGTGTGTTCCGTGCTCAGTCCAAATCCGCTTCCAATGAACTGGAAGAGCTGTGGCGAAACGCAAAGAGACAAAAGGAGTCGGATGGGCAGCGAGCTTCTAAGTGTGCCTGAAACAGATTTTGAGGGCAGCAATGGAAGAAGCTTTTCGAAGGTCTAAGAAGCACGCTAGTTGTACTGGGAACCCTTGATTGATAAACCCAGCTGGTTCATAAGAGGGGTGTCCCTGGGTTTAGTGGGGACTCAGTACTTTTGGAGGGGCCCGGCCAGGGGCCCCACCCGCCCTATGAGTGAGCAGGGCTGCATTCATCCGGGGTCGACATATTAATCCGCGTGTTTGCGAATGCTTCGCAGCTCACAGTCGCCGACATCCGGTGCCTTCCTTTGGTTTCCCGGCAACTGAGTCACAAAACGAGCGCCCTTTGTTTAGATGTGCCACTCAACTGCAGAGATTCCATGCCCCCAGCTTGGGACACTTTGGAGCATGGCGCCAGGGTGGCACAGGCACGCGCGAGTCCTGGTTGCTGTTCTGCAAGAATCGGCTTTCAAGCTCTGCCACAGCTAGCGACTTTTGCAATCTGTCACAGCTTCACTTGTTTGGGTTGGTTTCATGAGAAGCCAAATGGAACATTTCGTGGGCTCCGATTCCTTTGAGATAAACCCACCATGCTTAACTTCAGCTTGCCTGGCCTTCAGCCCCAGCGGTTGGCCCTGGTCCTTGCGAGCGCAACGAGCACCGGTCCCATGCTGGCTTCCTACATGCGCCCTTCGCAAACACTTGGCCAAATGAACCCAAATTGAGCTGCGCCATGATCAAGAGACCTTATCATTACAGTATCCTGGCGAACTCCTGCTGCAAGTCCCTC